GGAGGACCAGAGGTGCCAAAAATTCCTGATCTGGGGAATGTCAGTGGGGAGGGGTCTAGTTTTGCCATATGGAAACAGCCTTTTGTCTTTGCATCGTCTTTGCTTCGTTATAAAAGGTAAAGGGACCCCTGACCATTAGGTCCAGTGGTGACCAACTCTGGGGTTGCGGCGCTCATCTCGCTTTATTGGCCGAGGGAGCCGGCGTACCGCTTCCAGGTCATGTGGCCAGCATGACTAAGCCGCTTCTGGCGAACCAGAGCAGCACACGGAAACGCTGTTTACTTTCCCGCCAGAGCAGTACCTATTTATCTACTTGCACTTTGACGTGCTTTCGAACTGCTAGGTGGGCAGGAGCTGGGACCAAGAAACGGGAGCTCACCCCATCGTGGGGATTTGAACCGCTGACCTTCTGATCGGCAAGTCCTAGGCTCTGTGGTTTAACCCACAGCACCACCCGCGTCCCAATTGCTTCATTATACCCTGTTGCTAAAACGACTGCATTGCACAGTGATGTGTATGTCATAAACACTATTCCAAGGTTAAGAGTCACACACAATGCACATAAACAAACACACGCGTACTACTACTGACTGTGTTTCATGGCGGCGGGGAATACTTCGTGAAGCACTCACAAAACTGGTTTGCCAAAGACAGAAGTGGCACAGGAAAGAAATGATAACTTGCCTAACAAGGGACAGACAGGAGCTTTTTCTATATGTATCTTCTGTAAAAAAGAATCCTCAGTTCTGTTCATTTGGTAAAAACAAACAAACAAACAAACAAACCCAGAAAAAAGCCAGCATCATCATCCATATTCTTTGAATTTTACAAACACACTTATAATGTTTTCAGCATCCAAGCTCTTTTTATAGTCTGCTTGATTTTGGTATGAAAGTTTACTGGTACTTGCAGCGTACATAAAACATTTATTAGTGAAATAAGTCATCCTGCAGTAATGGTTTTGTATTTGCAAAATATGTAATGCAGAGATTTCCTATTTGGCTTGAGGACGCTACTGGTTGCTAAAACTGTGGATAAATTGGGTTTGGACAAAAGGGCTGCTGGTTTATTTACACCATAGCCTTATGAATGCCTGCCCAGAAGTAAGCCATGGCGTCAGTGGAACTTACTGCCAGAGTAAATGTGTAGAAGACGGCAAACTTAGGTTGTTTACTCCCCATGCTTTCAAAGCACGCAACTTTCCCCAAAGATTCCTGAGAATTCTAGTGTGTTGAGGGCACAGAGAGTTGTAGGTCTGTAAACTATTACTGAATAAAGGTAAAGGTAAAGGGACCCCTGACCATTAGGTCCAGTCGTGACCGACTCTGGGGTTGCGGTGCTCATCTTGCTTTACTGGCCGAGGGAGCCAGCGTACAGCTTCCGGGTCATGTGACCAGCATGACTAAGCCACTTCTGGCGAACCAGAGCAGCGCACATAAACACTGTTTACCTTCCCGCCAGAGTGGTACCTATTTATCTACTTGCACTTTGACGTGCTTTTGAACTGCAAGGTTGGCAGGAGCAGGGACCGAGCAACGGGAGCTCACCCCGTCGCGGGGATTCAAACTGCCAACCTTCTGATCGGCAAGTCCTAGGCTCTGTGGTTTAACCCACAGCACCACCCGCGTCCCTATTATTGAATAGGACGTCCCTATTCTCATTGGAGAACTGTTGGAGGAGATGCGTCAGACATTCCTGGCATTGCATGAGAGAGAAGCAGCCAGATGGAAGCAGCGGCCAAGCGGCTCAGGAAAAGTAAGAACTCCTGGTATTTAGAGGATAGAAAGAAAATCTAGAACTGCTGGTGTTTAGAGGGTAGAAAGAGACACAGCACCCCTAGCCCAAATGCATACATGGAAGAAATCAGTTTCCAGAGAGAATTAGATGCTGCTTCAGCAAACGGATGGTCCCAGCCTAGTGCTGACAGAATGGGAATATTAGGAGGGGGAGAGACTCTTGCAGTAGTTGGTTGGTGGGTGGGAGGGAGGGAGGGAGGGAGGGGTGCTTAATCCTAGGGAGAGGGCTTGGGGGCCAGATAGAGCAGCTTGGAGAGCCACATTTGGCCTCTGGGCCTGAGGTTTCCCCCTCCCCCCAGTATACAGTGGTGCCTTGGGTTATATACGCTTCAGGTTACATACTTTTCAGGTTACAGATGCTTCAGGTTACAGACTCCGCTAACCCAGATATAGTACCTCGGGTTAAGAACTTTGCCTCAGGATGAGAACAGAAATTGTGCTCCGGTGGCGCGGTGGCAGCAGGAGGCCCCGTTAGCTAAAGTGGTGCTTCAGGTTAAGAACAGTTTCAGGTTAAGAAAGGACCTGTGGAACGAATTAAGTACTTAACCAGATGTACCACTGTATGGGTCATTTATTATGCCCATCCATGGCTGGCTCCTGGTTTGAGGGGGATCTGGGCAAAGTGTCCTCTGTAGAGCCACCTCTACAGGTGGGCCCTGGTGGGCTTACCTGGCAATGGTGGTAGGCAGGTGACAGCGGCCCTCCAAGCAGCACCAGGTGGTTGGCAGCTGCCATGGTCATTTCCCACAGTGCCCCAGAGCTATGCTATGCTGGGGGCATTGTGGGAAGCTAAAATAGCAGCTAGGCCCAGCCGCTCAGAGTACCGGGTCCGGTTTTCTTTCTCTTAATTGTCCGTCCAGAATAGGCATCTTGTGGTAGGCCCTGCCAGGGTACTGGGGCTTCAGCTCCTGCTGCCTAGAGATCCTCAGTGTTGAAAAACAGGCTCCGGGCCCAACAACCACCTCTAGAAAATGGGGTTGAGGGAGGCACTGAAGGCCCAACACCAATTCACCCTTCTCTCTGTGGAAGCACAAATCATGTCAGTTATTGACTTTGGGAACTCTGTGATATGATAAGGGCACTCTGTACGTGCTTAGATGTCCTCCGTTCCCCAACAATTTCACAGGCATGGAGAAAACCCTATCAAGTACAGTGGTACCTCAGGTTAAGTACTTAATTCGTTCCGGAGGTCCGTACTTAACCTGAAACTGTTCTTAACCTGAAGCACCACTTTAGCTAATGGGGCCTCCTGCTGCCGCTGCACCGCCGGAGCACGATTTCTGTTCTCATCCTGAAGCAAAGTTCTTAACCTGAAAGCACTATTTCTGGGTTAGCGGAGTCTGTAACCTGAAGGGTATGTAACCTGAGGTACCACTGTATGCAGTGTGAGTGATTCCCAGTGGCTTCTGGAAGAAGAAGAAGAAAAACATCAGCAAACCCTGGTTCAAATTCAGGCTGCGTCTCCCCCGAAGCCCCTGCTTAACTTGCGCCGCATGACAAGATCTGATGGATCTTCTTCTTGGTCCCACCCAGTTGTGCTCCGCAGCAGTAACACGCCCGGTAATTGCTCCGCTGGCTGTAAATCAGGCCTCCAATTCAATGTAAATATGACTCATGTGAAAATCCATTTCTGCTCTTAGCGAGTGATTTAATGCAGCACCTGCCTGTCTGCTCACGTCACAAACCCGAGAGCCCGGCAACTTCCAAGGGACAAGAGGCAGCTGTGCTGATACAGCAGAGCAGATAACGGCAAGACGGGATGCCGAAACAGAACCCTGCCACTCTGTGGGAGAAGTGGGTAAATTCAATTGCTCCTGCAGGAAAAGAAATCCTCACCGACAGCCGTACGGTCAATTTATCAGGGATAAGATTCCTAGCTCCATTATGGGCTTGTGCAGGCTGCTGCTTGCAGTTTAAAGTAGGTTCAGTGCATCCTTTATCAGCATGTTTTTTGCATTGTCCACGATGCTGTGGACTCTGTTGTAAACAAAATCTGCCCTTTTTCCGTTATGGGGTATCCAGGAGCCCGTATAGAGTCCTTACGTGGGTTCCCTATTGGTAGGAGAAAATAACAGAGGCCAACCAGAGAATATTGAGAAGCAAAGCAGCTAGTAAGCTAGTATTGATCTGTTGCAACAGGGTGCTCCCATCACATGCAGGAAAGGAGGAGGACCTCGAACAATGGCGTGCAAGGCCTTATGTAGACCTTTCAAATTCCCTGCCCTGGACTTCAAGACCACCCCTCCATACATCATACATACATCACAGAAGGGGTGTAACCCAAGACCACCCCACACAAACATACCTACATCACAGAAAAGGTGGTCTACAACAGAAATTTGAATGTTGTTGTTTTTCCTATCTGCCAGGTTATCTGATAATGCCTTATCTGATTGCCTTTCCTGGTAGTCTGTCACCCTTTGAAATGGTGATTACTAAATTCCTGTAACAAGAAAGGTTTTTTTCACCTCCTCCCTCCTTGCAGAGAAACATTTGGTCAGCTTGGGAGTCAAAAACGGTTCCAGGACTGTCTTCCTGTGCTGCTTCAGACATGTGGTTTATATATTTATGTACGTGTTTGCTTGGTACATTTATGAACATTTATTATATATCGAAGACCTTAAAATTCCCAACAAGAAATTGCACATTGCCTAGCTGCAAATGTATTGAAGTGCATTTTGTGGGTGCTTTTTAAAAAAGCGTGTAGTAATGTTTTGCCTCAGTTGGAGGCAGCAGTACTTCTGAATACCAGTTGCTGGAACATACAGGAGAAGAGAGTGCTATTGTGCTCAAATCCTGCTTGCCAGTTTCCCACAGGCATCTGGGTAGCCGCTGTGAGAATGGGATGCTGGACGAGATGGGCCTTGGGTCTGACGCATCAGGCCTCTCCTTACGTTCTTATGGGGGCCATCTGCCAACAGCCCCTCTACTTCTGTGGGTGAGGCATTTCTGGCATAAAGGTAAAGGTAAAGGGACCCCTGACCATTAGGTCCAGTCGTGACCGACTCTGGGGTTGCGGCGCTCATCTCGCTTTATTGGCCGAGGGAGCCAGCATTTGTCCGCAGACAGCTTCCGGGTCATGTGGCCAGCATGACTAAGCCGCTTCTGGCGAACCAGAGCAGCGCACGGAAACGCCGTTTACCTTCCCGCTGGAGCGGTACCTATTAATCTACTTGCACTTTGTGCTTTCGAACTGCTAGGCTGGCAGGAGCAGGGACCGAGCAACGGGAGCTCACCCTGTCACAGGGATTCGAACTGCCGACCTTCTGATCGGCAAGTTCTAGGCTCTGTGGTTTAACCAACAGCGTCACCTGCATACCCTCCGACATTTCTCCGATGAAAAGAGGGACATCTATCTTGGCAGGTAGGGACAAGCACATCAGCAGCACACACAGATTGTTTTAAAACCTGCTCTTTTGTGCAAAAAAAGAGTACCTGTGTAAGTGTCCACGGCGGCTGTCTGGTTTCTAGAACTCAGGATATTGAGTGAAGGGCTCATTGAGGGGAAGGATAACAACGCAGTGCAAATGCAGTGATGAGGCAGTTTTTCGTGTGTCGGTGAAATTTCTCATGTGTGGGAGCATATGGGAAATTGGATTTGTGTGGCCCATTAACACTCTGGTGTGTACAGTGGTACCTCGGGTTAAGTACTTAATTCGTTCCGGAGGTCCGTTCTTAACCTGAAACTGTTCTTAACCTGAAGCACCACTTCAGCTAATGGGGCCTCCTGCTGCCACTGTGCCGCTGGAGCACGATTTCTGTTCTCATCCTGAAGCAAAGTTCTTAACCTGAGGTAATATTTCTGGGTTAGCGGAGCCTGTAACCTGAAGCGTATGTAACCCGAGGTACCACTGTACACAGTCTCTGTCTGTCGTCCCGGCTGTGGCGGTGTAGTTAACGAATGCTAGACTCTGGGCTTAATGGTCTTGGAGTGTGTGCTCTTTATTTTTTGTATGGTATCTTTGTAAACTGCTTACAAACTATTGTAGGTAAGTGGTATATACTGGTAATTCGTTTGAATCAATAGAAGTAAATGAAACAAATCAGAGTCAGCTCTGTGATGTCTTTTAAGTTGAAAAGAGTGTTGTTTTTTAGAAAGACAAGCTGTGAGTGACTTTTATGTGATGTTTGTCTATAAAAATGCTATTTTCCTTGATGATGCAGAATGAATGAATCAATGGGAGAACTGTAAAATAAAATACAGAATATGGTGCCAAAGAAGGATAGAACTTTTTTTATGTATGCTACAACAGCAGCAAGAATACTCATCGCGAAGTATTGGAAGACACAAGATTTACTCACTCGGGAAGAATGGCAGATGAAGTTGATGGAATTGGAGGAAATGACTGGCAGAATCCAAGACCAGGGAGAAGAGTCGGTGGAAGAAGACTGGAAAAAGTTTAAAGACTATTTACAGAAATACTGTAAAATTAATGAATGTTAGAAAAATGTTGGAATGAAGGTATATGGCTTTAGTAGAAATGTTATAAGGAATTAAGTGTAAATAGATCGATAGAGTATTAAAGGGAAAAATAAGGTTAGAATCTGTTAAGATAATTAAAGGATAGAAAGCAGAGGAAGATGGAAAGGAATTGCTAAAACAATCAACAGAAGTGGAATACGAAAAGGGAGGTGTGAGGAGGTCACTGAAATAAGTGAATGAAAGATAAGATATTGAGATTGTTTGATGTTTTTTAAATCGTTTTTGTTTTGTTTTGTTAGTTTAAGGTGTTATGTAGTGTTTTTGTAATGTATTGTATTGTTCTTTTTTCTTTTTTCTTTTTTTTGTGTGTGTGTGTTTAAATTGTTGGAAAAGTAATAAATATTATTTAAAAAAATAAAAATAAAATAAAATACAGAATATCCTTGGCAAGTTAGCGGGCCCCTACAGACACCCTTTTTATTGCACATTCATGATGCTACTGGGGTGATCCATGTGTGCTTTCAACACTATTTGCACCTGCGGAGTTTTGGAGGAAGTTGTACTACTTCACTTCCAATTGGTGCACAACCTGTCACTCCCTGCTGAAATCCCGTATCTTCTTATACTGTAAACGTTCTGGTTTATTTTTGGCCTGCTTTTGTTGTGCCGTGATCTCTCCGAAGAGCAATAATGTGGTAGTGTTGCAGAGCAGCTAATAAAGCAGAATAAATCCTCCCCTAACGCAGTCCTATTGTGTCAAGAACATGTTGCAGGACACAGCCGCAGTAAAACACCAGTCTGGAGGGACCCAGAAGGCTCTTGATGCGCATCTTTTTTTAAAAAAATCCAGGATATATGATTATGTGTGACCAGCAACAGGGACATTATCTTTGGTGGGTGGATTTCACAATTCCGTGGAGAAGCAAAGTGACCTGTGAATGACCCAAGTCGGTGAATTGTGGAACCGAAACGCCCTGGGATTCCTTGGCTGTGTAGGCAACGCACAGGGTTGCCAATGTTTCCTTCTCTTCTTTTCGAGCAAGGCTCCTGTGCGGGCCCAAGTCATTTTAAATTTTTTTTTTAGTTTCATCAACAGTGATTTTTCTCTGATAAAAACCTCAACTCAGCCCCTCGGATTTTGTTATGCATATTTGTGGGCTCTGTTTAGTTTCCAGCAATACTTGTGTAGAAGTGAGGATTTAGGTGCCGTATTTTTCGCTCCATAGGGCGCACCGGACCATGGGGCGCACCTAGTTTTTAGGGGGGGGGGATAAAGAAAAACATTTTATTCCCCCCCCCATCCCCAAAGAGCAAAGAAGCCAAGACAGTGAGCGGGATGCATCTCGCTGGCTGTCTTGGCTTCCTCTTTAGCTGCGCGCAACCTCTCCAGGCGGGAGAGGCTGCGCGTGGCTTTGGCAGAAGCCAAGACAGCGAGCGGGATAGATCCTGCTTCGTTTTTAGCCATGGGGCTGGAGCGGGGGAAGCTCGAGCTTCCCCTGACCCCAGCCCCCAGAACAGGTCCAGGAGTGGCGGCAAGGTTGCGCGCATCCTTGCCTCCACTCCGGGAGCTTGCGGGGCTGGGGGCGCGCTCCGAAGGCTTGCGGATAGCTGCCTGAAGCCTGGAGAGCGAGAGGTGTCGGTGCGCACCGACCCCTCTCGCTCTCCAGGCTTCAGCGAAAGCAACGCGAAGCCTCCGGAGTGTGGAGGGAGCGCTCTCTCTGCGCTTCGGAGGCTTCGCATTGCTATCGCTGAAGCCAAGGAGCCTGCATTCGCTCCATAGGACGCACAGACATTTCCCCTTCATTTTTGGAGGGGAAAAAGTGCGTCCTATAGAGGGGAAAATACGGTAGGTGCCGCTTTTCTTGATGCTGTGAGACAAGTTCCTACATATTTTTTGAGGCACGGGGGAGCCTTGCATTCCTTTGTCTTACGCACTTGTGTACTTCCGCCCCAGCTTTCAGGCAGCTGTGTAAAAAAAAGCCCATCTGCTTAGGAGATCCTTGAGCACGGATAACTGCTATCAATCCTCCATGGTTCCTTACGGTTGTGATTATGGATGGCTGGGAATCTTTTGTGCTGCTACTGGATTAATATATCTCTTGATTTCAGTTTTGTAGTCTGCACATCACCCCTAGCCCAGTCACAGCGATTTTCCAGTGTAAGCTACCTTGAGCGTTTAGAAAATGTGGCATAGAATATTTTAAATTTTCTTTTTAAAGGCTTTAGGAGTAAAAACCAGTACTTCATTTGAGTGCAGAGCCCTGAAACCTCAATTTAAATCACATGAATGTGCTGCTTTTTCTCTCTTCCCATCCTCCCTTCCCCACCTGGCAGCCATGCCTTCTGAGCTGCGCAAAGCAGAGACCAGTGTTAAACACAAACCACCTGAACAACTCTGTGGGATAAGAAGGATTACTAGGAAGTAGGGCCCTGTAAGCAGCTTTGAACTTTAGTATTTTCTTATTTTCCAAATTTTAGCACAGGATAAACATTGGATTTTTAAAAAGAGGCAACTGCAGCTCTGTTTTCTGGGGTCTTGTGGCTTGGCTTTCTCTCCAACACAGCCTTTCTCCATTCCTTTCTCACCTTTCACTCATCTCCATTGCAACTTTTTATTTCGACTACTCAAGTCAATACCTGCAACAGTCAGCTGTGTGGGCTGCTGTGAACGGACCAGCGCACAAGCTCAGCATCTGGTACATCTGGACTTTGGGAGCAGGGAATCTATTAAATGAAACATGTCCTAATAGTGTTCATCTCCTAAGGCAGATATAGCCAACAGGGTGTGCTCTGGATGCGGTTGGACTACAACTCCCACCTCCCATGGCCATTGGCCCTACTGGCTGGGGCTGATGGGAGTTGAAGTTGAAACATACTCGGAGTGAAGAGTGGATTTCATGCTCTTTATTCAGCTCATAGTGGTGAGGAGGAATGGAAGTTCCCCCAGAATGTCTGCTTTATATACATTATTTACACAATGGGCCCCACGTGATTGGCTAATTCACCTGTATTGTGCATAAAGGGGAGCCAACCAGGTGTCCTTTGGATGTTATTAGACTGCAACCCCACCATCCCTGACCATTGGTCATGCTGGCTGGGGCCAGTGGGTGTTGAGAGTCCAACATTTGCAGGGCATCGTATGTGGCTGTATCCCAAGAGCCTCAGAACCCTGTGAATAGACACTTGAGTTTTCATTTTCAGTGCCAATGTGTGTGTGATAGACAAAGAACGAGAATATCCATGCATGTTCAAGCAAAGCTCAAGGCACAAGGGATGATGTGAAGAGTTACTGGGCTAGATCCGGTGCACTGGAGAGGGGCATGGCGCTTAAATATTTTGCTAAGGGACTCCGACTCCTTGTTCACCTCCAGATTTTGGAGGTCAGGCTGTCTCCTTGGCCCTACATCCACGGGAGAGTGCAGAGACTCCCCTTTGTTGGGCCTCAAGAGCTGTGAAACACGGATGCTTAGAGGGATGTTTGCCTCCCCCCTTTCCATCGTATTTCTTGCAGCACAGACAAAATGAGCAGAGGAACACTCCCAGCAGCAGGCGGGAGTTTGGGGGAGAGAGAGAGGCTGTCTCTCAACAGTTTGCCTTTCAGAAAGGAACGGAAAGATGGCCAAGCCTGGGAGAGGGCTACTGGCAGAAAGGAGGGATATGAGGCAACAGTAAATTTTAAGAGCTCGGTTGCTTCCAGATTATCTGTTTATTGAGCATTTTGTCTTGATTTGCTTGCGCAAAGCTTGCACAGAAGTTATACAATGTCTGCTCTTTATTGAGCTATAGCTCCAATGTCTTTCTGCAGAGGTTATACGACTGCTCATCAATCATTGTCCCATACTTTCTAATGCATTTCCCTATCCGTTTTCTTACTGCAAAACCGTTTTTTAAAAATAGACCCAGGCAGTGCTTTTTTCCCTACAAAAATGTTTATGGGTACTCTCATTTTATATAGTTCAAATCAGGAAAAATAAATACAATAAATGGACAAAAGTACAGTGGTACTTCTGGTTACATACTTAATGCATTCTGGAGGTCCGTTCTTAACCTGAAACTGTTCTTAACCTGAAGCACCACTTGAGCTAATGGGGCCTCCTGCTGCTGCCACGCCGCCATCGCACGATTTCTGTTCTCATCCTGAAGCAAAGTTCTTAACCCGAGGTACTATTTCTGGGTTAGCGGAGTCTGTAACCTGAAGCGTTTGTAACCTGAGGTACCACTGTATAAAGATTCACAAAATGTTTAGGGGTATGAGTAACCCTGTGTCCCTCCAGAAAAAATAGCACTGGACCCAGGTTTGTTGCTCCAGAGTATCCAGTTTAATTGCGCAAACCTGAACTTTCTGGTGTGCAGTTGAATCCCTCTTACAAGTAGCGAAGTCAGCACAATCAATAGAGGAAGAGATACCAAGATCTGCAATTGTCATTTATAGGGGCCGACAGGACAGGATTGGCCAAAGGGAGCCTCTGGTGGTGTGACCAACTGAAAAAGAGAATGTGAGTGCCGGACTCTGAGGGTTTACTTTTTAAAGAAAGTAGGTCTCTAGCCATTCTAGAAATATGTTTATGAAACAGAATGTATAGGTGACATTCTAAACAATTTCTGTTAAATGAGCCAGCCCAGCTTCTCCTGTCTGTCAGTGTTTTTAGTCAATGACTGATGTCAGAGCTGTGAGTTGTTTGGTCCCTAGGCAATAGGACTCCCTGGATTCCCAACAGACTTAGATTTATAATGGTGCAATTGAAGTAATTGCACCAGGCCTGTGCCAGCAGGGGTTCCAGACTCTTTAAGTTTTTATTTAAAAATAAGAAGGAAAGAAAGTTGTGAAGTATAATGTGCAGGCAACCTTCCAAGCCAAGGCATCACCAACCTGACCCAGGTAGGGGGAACGAATATTGTGGTAGGAGAATTGTTATGCCTTT